CAGGTGGCCCAGTCGGGGCTCCAGGGCCGTCCCCGCCGAAGGTGAAGCCCCCGTTGCCTGAGCCGCCATAGGGGCTGGCGGGGCCCGTGTCCGGCACTGGCGGTCCTCCGCGGCTGCTGGGATAGAAGGCCTCGGGGCCCCCTGGGGTGCCCAGGGTACTGTCCCCCCGGAGGCTGGCGCTAGGCAGGGTGGGCCGCCGCCCGGGGTTGGGGGCCTTGGCCCAGAGGCCTGCAGCGGCTCCGAGCAGGTCCAGGCAGACGTCGGTGCCGTTGGCGTGGAAGTCACTGTCGGGGCCGGCGTCGGTGAAGGCGCCGGTGCGCAGCGTGATGTGCGCCTCGATCTCCTCCCGGGCTCGGTCCACGTTCTCCGGCATGCCCGTGACCGCGAACACCGGCTCCTTGTCCCGCCCGGGCGTCACGATGTATGTGTGCGTCCGCTGCTGGATGCGCTTGATGGTGGCGCCTTTGGGCCCCACGACCAGCCCCACCACGCGGTAGGGCACGCGCACCTGGATGGTGGTCTGTCCCGGCAGGTTGGGTGGGCCCTGCGCAGTGCCGGGCAGCCCACCGGCCTTGCTGCGGGTCGCGCGGATCACCGAGAAGTGCTCCGCCGCAGACAGGATCTCGCGTTTGGCCATCTCTACGTCCTCCTGGCGGCCAGTTACGATGAAGACGGGCTCCTCCCCACGCACCGGCGTCTTGATGTATGTGTTCGTCTTGGCCCGCAGCGCCTTGATTTTGCACCCTGGGTTGGGGGGAAGGGGAACATGGTGAGGACCGGGACCCCTCCCCAGGTCAGCCTGTCTGGGGCACCAGCTGGAGGGGCCAGGCCAGCTGGTGGGCTCCATTTGGGGGCTGTACCCCCGTGGCATTTTGTCATCTCAGACATACCGCATCCTACCCTGGGACCTGGGACCTTAGTTTCTCCTCTGGTCATCCGAGGGACACCAGGGGCCCTGGCACAGGTGCAACACGCTGGGTGCCCCTGGGGCTGGCAAAAAAGCAAGAAGGCAAGGACTCTGTTGTGGGTTGAATAGTGTCCCCTAAAATTCATGTCCATCCACAACATGAGAATGGCTCGCTCTTGGAAATGGGGCATCTACAAGTGTAACTAGTTAAGATGAGGTCACTATAGGGTAGAGTGGCCCTGAATGCAAGTGGGACACGTAGAGTCAGCCATGTGACAAGGCAGGCGTTGCAGTGACGTGGCTACAAGCCAAGGGACACCAAGCACTGCTGGCAGCCACCGGAGGCTGGGAGAGAGAGCGCATGGACAGACTGTCCCCTAGGGCCTCTGGAGGGCGCACACCCCTGCCAACACCTTGATTTCAGATTTCCAGCCTCCGGAACGAAGGAGAGAATTTCTATTGTTTCAAGCTATTCAGCTGATTATGTCAGCCCTAGGCTATGAGTGCAGATCCTCTGGCATCACCCCCTATCTGACAGGTGTGGAAACCCAGGCTCAAATTGTGTAAGCTGCCTACAATTTTCTTCTGACCAAGTGACCCTTCAGCCCCATGCAGGTGAGGTGAGGCCTCAGCCCCATGCAGACTCCTAGGCCTGAACTCAGGACACCTTCCGAGGTCCTGAGGGTCCTGGCCTCTGAGGGAAGCTCAGGGACTTGGGAACACGACACTGCTTCATCCTGCTGGGCTGGGGCTCCCACCCCGTGGAGGGGCAGGGGCAGTTGATCAGGGTCTCTGATAGTGGTGCCTGCCCAGGTCCCTGATACCCACCCCTCCAAGGCCTTCTGAGACATCTTGAGTCCAGGCCAAGGAATCTGGAAGACCGACCCGCCCCCCTCCCCACAACCTCAGGGGAGGCTAGAGGGACACAGTGATATTGTGTTAATACAGAGGTGGCACTGAGAGGAGTAACAGTGTTGCTAACTTCACAACAGTGAAAGACACAAAATTAGCAGAATCATGCCCTGGCCCTGTTTCTAAATGGTTAGAGCTTGACCAACACACCAGAGGGTCACGGTCGCTTCCCATCAGGGGCACGTACCTGAGTTGTAGGTTTGATCCCACCAATGGGAAGCAACCAATTGCTGTCTCTCACACTGATGTTTCTCTCTCTCTGCCCCTCTTCCACTCTCTCTGGAGTTAGATGGAAAAAGTATCCTTGGGTGAGGATTAACAAAAGAAAAAAAAAGAAAGAAAAAAAATGTTAGCAGGATCAGCATGTCTGCCCAGAAAGAAAACAAGGAGATGGTGCTTCGGCCAGGAGACGGCTCATTGCAGAGGTGGTGGGGGCATCCAGGGGCAGCCTGACCCTAATCTCAAGAAGACAGTAGCTCCCAACCAGGGCCTTGAGCAAAAGCAGGGCAGGTGAATTGGGGTCAGAAATCTCCGAGGGAGGGGCTGCATTCCTACCACCTCCATGCCCCACCTCCTGAGTCCTTAGTCACCCCCCCCCACCAAAACTGTGTTGTCTCAATGGCATTCTTTTTGGCCCCCCAAACCTACCCTGACCTGTGGCTGCTCCAAAAGTGCCCTGATGGTCCGTCCCCTCCCTACCTGGCAAACTCCCTCTGCCTTGGCCACGCTGTTCCCCACACAAAACAGTGTCCTCGCCATCCTCACCCCCAGTCCTGGCCCTTCTTTGCATCATATTACAGCCTGGTACTCCCTCCTCCCGGAAGCCCAACATGACTGGGCCAGGAGAAAGGGGGGACTGGGCCAGGAGAAAGGGGGGACTGGGCCATGAACTTCCAGAGTTCCTCCTGCCACCACGTCTGACTTTCAGAACTTCCGGAGGCCAGGGGACTATGCTCTAAGGCAGTGGTTCTCAACCTTCCTAATGCCGCGACCCTTCAATACAGTTCCTCATGTTGTGGTGACCCCCAACCATGAAATTATTTTCGTTGCTACTTCATAACTACAATTTTGCTACTGTTATGAATCGTAATGTAAATATCTGATATGCAGGATGTATTTTCATTGTTACAAACTGAACACAATTAAAGCATAGTAATTAATCACAAAAACAATATGTAATTATATACGTGTTTTCCGATGGTCTTCGGCGACCCCTGTAAAAGGGTCGTTCGACCCCAAAGGGGTTGCGACCCATAGGTTGAGCACCACTGCTCTAAGGGCTAGTAAACTGGGGATTGCCCTGGGCTCTTGGGGGAACCTTCCTGTACCTCAATTCCCTCGCCCATAAAAGGAGGGCTGAAACACCTAGCCTCACAGATTTGGGGCTGGACCCAAAGGGCCATGGTCCCAGGCAGATGCCCTGCCCCTGAAATGTTTGTTTCTAGCAGAGTCACGTGAGGAGGGAATCTATTGAGGCCTGGAGAAAGGGGGCATTTGCCAAAGGAGAACCTCCTACCCCCAACCACTGATCTTCTGTACAGATGAATAAGTGGGCCTTGAACCCAAGCACAAGGCTGGAGCGATGAGTCCCTAAGGTGGGTGAGGGCAGGAGAGGGAGGATGTAGCTTCCCTTTGGGTGGCCTGAGTGGAGCCCTTAGTGGCCAAGAGGCTCTACTTTACTGACTGCACTTCAGCTGTGACACCTGTTGGCCCCGAAACCCAACTCATGTCAAGACCGTGAGAGGGGGCAGAGCTTGGGAGAGGGTGGGATTGTCCAGTCGAGAAAATTGGGGATCCACAGTGATCCGGGACACACCCCCTTCCCCAGTGGGGATGATAGAGTGCAGTAAGAGTGGATGGTGAGCCCTGGCTGGTGTTGCTCAATGGTTAGAGTGTCAGCCTGCACACTGAAGGGTCACAAGTTCGATCCCTGGCCCCGGCCTGCAGGAGGCAACGAATCTATGTATCTCTCTCAAAATGATGTCTCTCTCTCGTCCTCCCTCCAATTAAAAAAAAAAGCAATGGAAGAAATACTCTCCTTGGGTGAGAATTAACAACAAAAAGAGTGGGTGGTGTCAGGGGGCTGAGTCCCATGCCTGGGGAACTCTGGGGGCCACCACTGATAGGTGGGCACAGACTGAAATGCAGGTTCCTCGGCATTGCCCTCAGGATGCCAACTCAAGAGAACGGGGTGTGCTTGGGAATGTGGAGACAGCCCTCGGGGCTGACACTGTCCTGCCTCAGGCCCTAGCAACCCTCCCCTCAAAGTGGGAAGGCTAGTAGACGAGGGCAGCCCTTTGCCTCCCATCACTCACATGACCCCCTTATGGGGTCCTGGCCATACCCATGTGCTGGCACTCAGAGAACTAGGTCCCACAGGTGACCACAGGCTACACCTGTCCACAAAGCCTCAAGGTTATGAGGGGAGGGAGGACACGGCGGAGGAGCACTCCCCCAGAGGAACGGCGGGGGCAGAGCTCCGGAAGCAGGACAGGGCTCGGACAAGTTCCCACAACCAGGCAAGGCCCAAGTGGCCTGCGGTCCTGGTGGGCCACGTCACAGCAGGGTGGTCTGGGGAGGAAGCTGGCGTGTCTGTGACACACGGACACGGGAAGCAGGACTGGTCTCTAACTGCCAACACAAGGAGCCCCCAACCCCACCATGGGCACCTCTTTACTTCTATGCCCCACAGTGGATAGACAGGAACACCAAGGCATGGACCCCAGCACCCTGCAGTGTCCTGGCTGCCAGAACGGACACCTGATACCTGCAGGGTTGGGGCCAGAGAACAGACAATGGGAGACCATTCCAGGCCACCACCCACAGCCTGACCTCAGAGATGGAAGAGACCTGAGGCCCTGCCTTCATTATCCTGCACAGACCCAACACGACCACGCCCAGCCCTGGTCAAGGCATGGGCACAGACTCGCCCTGCGTACAGGACATGGATGGCAAGAAGGGGGTGTGCATGGGCCCAAGGTCACCCCCATGGTCAGGGCACCAGCCTCCCAGGAAGCAGGGTAGGCAAAGCCAATGAGACCAGGGTTCAAATCCCAGCCCGGCCCCGTCTCTCACAGCCTCTTCCTCCTGTGCCTTCTTGGGGAGGGGTGGCCCTGAATCTAGGAATTGACAGAAAGGATGAGTAACTGAGGGCAGGCTGTGCCCCCTGCACTGGGGAGAGCCTGAGCAGTAAGGAGGAGCAGGCTTGGCATCCAGGGACCCACAGGGTAGAGAGTGGGGTGGGTGATGGGAGGAGGGAAGGGGTGGGGCTGGGGCAGTCTTTCAGGGTGTGCTTGAGAACTGGGTGGGAGAGGATGGGAGCCGCAAATAGCTCTGGAGGTGAGGCAATGCAACCTGTCCTGGTATTCAGGCTCCCTCCCTGGTACCCTGTACCCCATTTGTGGGGTGGTTACTGAGTGCCAGACGGGGATTACAACCAGTGCCTTAAGAATCCACACAAAAACCCTGAGGGCGGTGCTGCCCCCCATTAGAGAAGGGCTCTCATTTGCTCAGGGTCACAGGGCCTCCTCAGTCTACAGGATTCACTGTATTGCCTAGTCTTCTCTGTTGTCCACAACCACCAAGAATACAGGCTGGCACACAACAACCCGGTGCCAAAAGCACCCCCGGGAGGTTGGGTGGAGCCTGAGGCCCCAGGCTCACCCCGTCACACCACTCAGCCTGCGGCTACAGTTCGAGTGCCCTCTGCCTGACTCCCGTCACCACCTGTGAGGCATAAGATGAGGCCTCTCCCTCAGGTGTCAGGACCGCATGTTCACACAAAACACACCCTCATGCTCCACTGCACAACAGATGAGTCTAGTGATTTTGGGCAAATGGCCCCCAGGCATTGGTATCCACACTTGCCCACCACACCTGCCCACCCGCAGGCTTCTTGACACTCCATGTGTAACTACCTGTTACATGTCCCAGGGAAGTTATGGGGGACAGGAGGGGGCAAGTGGGGGTCTATATAGGAAAAGTGGTGAAGCAAACTGTGCGGCATGGGTCTAGCCATGTCGGAGCCTGAAGGCGGCGGGCAGGGTTCAGAAAGGAACCCGTCTTCACTCCTGATGGTGGATCTCAGCACCACGCCCGGCACTCCTTGTGTCCACATGTGGAAAGGACAAATGAATGACCAGAGGGCTTGC